TTTCCCCTCCATGTCCCTTTAGGGGCTCCGTATGGAGGTGACCTTAATTAAAAGGGCAAAGAAATTTAAGCTTTGAAACCCGTTTGGTTAATAATCACATTTTACAACAAACTATGAAACTATAAGAAATTAAATGTTTGCAGCTAGTGGCATTACCAAGTTTATCAGTTATTAGTCCACAAGAACAAAAAGATGACCAGACATGACTCTGAACTGCTGAAGCCCAAGGAAGAGATTGGTGGAAGAAAAAAAATTTAATCTTCATAAACAAAACATTTATTGACAAAATCGCCCTCTGTTAGGACAGATAGGCATGACTTAACTATAGGGAGCAGAGGAAGTATATTTATTTATTTGCTTAAAGGGAAATTATTATATTGTTGTGTTAGAGTATAATTTTTTATGAATGATTATTTATACTACAGAGGAATTTTAGTACTTTTCTGACAGACCCAGGAAGAGGGAACGTAAGCCTGAATGGACCTTTATTTTATGTTGAGGAGTAACTGGATGACTTGAGGTAAAGTTTTTAAAGTCAGGGTTGTGATTTCTAACTACGCTCTGGTAGTCAGGTAAGCTTTAGAGCCTCCATCCATAATATCAGCAGTAGAAGTTAAGATTAAACACAGTGCTAAACGGTGCATTGCATTAATACTAAGAAGCATATATGTAACCAAGCTGTCAGTAGAAATGGTAAAGACTGAACTGTGCAAACACTACTGAATCATAACTTACTGTAGGCAGAGGCAACTAAAGGAGAGACACTATTACGCTAATAATGGTGGCTTTATGGCGCTCAGTGGAAGATGCAAATAACTTTAGTGGTTAAAGAGATAGTTATGTTTTATTACCTTTTAAATCCAAATTAAAGTGTGAAGTGATATTTAATTTGTTGATAGCCAAAGCAAAATGATGCCACATTAAAATTATATATACAACAGTTTTAATTCTTAGAGATATATTTATTTTTTAATTGTAAAGAAATAACTATCTAGAATTTATTAGATTCTATAAGCAATTGCCATCATAGAGATTGAGTTTTATGAGCAATTAGTAAAGTCTGCTGGCTGTCCTGAATTAGAGCCCAAAGGTTTGAGGGTCATACATTAATTTGGATATTCATCTTTCTAGAATGCGTATATTAACACATTTCAAAAGTCTTTCCAACAAGAAAATCTCCCAAAGCCTTTATCTTCAGAATGTTATGCTCTAAAATAATCATTCTTCCTGAGATCCATGATTCTCACGATCACCTGTGTATTTTCGGATGTTCTAATCTGATAAAAAATGTCTTTAAACTCTTTATCCAGAAAGTTGATTCAATGTAACTTTAAAAGCAAAAGCATCCGGTCTTTCTACCAACAAAAAGGCTTTACATCTCAACACGGGAAACCATATTTATTTGTACACCCATTTTTTAATAGTTCTTTTTAAAGCACAAATGCACTTGATAGTTTTAGACACATTTTAAAGATGCTGAGTTCCTGAGTTAAAAACATCTGATTAGACAAAGTAGATTTTTAGTTCTTTTTTTGGACCAGCTGTTGCTGACAGAGAAAATCTAAAACTGCGTTGTTACTATAACATCAGCTTGTTGAAGATAATATATTTCAAACAAGTTAGGATTATGAAAACAATTCAAAATGTCTTCATGGCTTTATGTGTGTCGTGAAGAAGTGTGCGCTGTGACTCTTTGTCTGCATCGTTTAGTCAGAACAGACTGATTCAAGTTTGATCTGATACTGTTTAATTTGTGCTTGTATATCTCACATAAAATATATTTTCTTGACTTTGTGGTGACTGTGTGGATCGCTGTTGCTTCCTGAAAAACTGTTTTCTTTATTTAATTATTTACAATAGAATTTCCACTTGAAGGTTTGCACCTTGAAAGCGTATATGTAAAGAGATTGAGTTTATCTACAGATACTAAACCACTTGTATAATTTAAGCACATAACTTTGTAACCGTGCTGATACTTGATGTTCATGTGAAAAGGCTTGTTAAATGGGTCGTTTTATCTCTGGGAATATTCAATATTATTCCTTGGCTTTTATGTAAATTTCCGTCAATTGTGGACGATAGGAATATGTTGTGTTTGCATTGAGGGAGCCCCTGTGTAATTAAGGTTATTGTTATGTCCAGTGTTTCCTGTTTAGGTGCTGCTTCTGTCTTTAGCTGTTCATGCTGCTACCTTTCTGCACTAACAGGAGCGTCCACCCGTTTCACCTCCAAATTCAAAATGTTGCGTTGCACATCTTGCCCTGCTTTTCTGCCTCTTGTGATGTCACAAATTCAGATATGTCTATGCAGGAAAACAGAGTTACATTTTTTTATGTGCATCAGCACATCTTATGACACCATTCCATATATATATATATATATATATATATATATATATATATATAATTTTATTTATTTTTTTTTTTATTTTTTTTTTTACAAATCCCACCCAGCATAGACACATCTATATGAAATATTTTCTAGGTCCCTTTTGTACATCTGATTTTGTGTAAAATGAAACACCAGATGAGGTTTTTTTTACAACATCCACCAAACCTCTAATTTCGACGTCCACAGGTGAGCTACATCTAGTCAATATAATGCAAATCTGATCGCAATATTA